GACTGACAGAAACCCAAAGTTAAGTTAAAAAGGCAAAAAACCACCCTTGGTAGAGCCGGGCAGCCTTCCTCTCTCCAGTGCAATGATAGCGGCGGGCATGTCGGGTGACAATGCAAAACATTGCTGCCGAAAGTGTCCTTTCCCCGATGAGTGTAGTTATATTTCCAGAAGACGCTATGCAGGTGCTTTACGTGTACGTAACTTTTACTGGGATGAACACATTACGGTTATACCTAACATGCTGAAATAACTGTGAGCTGCGGAAGCTGTGAATTTTTTGCTAGAAATGTGGTTCCTGGCCCGCGTTATCCGCGGATCCAAGTCTTTCGGCTCCATTCAAAAGTCACACAAAGAAGGAGATTCGTTTTCACCACAGCACAAATGTATTTTCTTTGAGGCACCAACAAAGCACGATGAACCAGGGACATATGGATGGGGTCGATACTCATCACATATAGAACAATGACGCAGACAAATGACAACGGAGCACCGCCACGACGATGAAGCGCGGCCGAGACTGACTCGACATCGAGTCCTATCGGCTGGTGCAGTTCTCCTCACTGTGGACGACCGTCTCTGCAGGCCCAGAAGGGTAACTCGGCTTTGGACACTTTAGTGGACAGCGGCGCGAGCCAGGGCCTCGGCGTGCGCGGCGAAGTGGGCCGACTTGGCTGCGGCCACCTCGGGCGTGTCGGCCACGTGACCCGGGCCGGCCGGGCCCACCGGCAGGTTAGTGCCCGCCACGCGGAAGCCCAGCGCGTCCGAGACGTAGTCGACCTTCTGCGGCAGGCCGTAGGAGTCCACATAGCTGTAGGAGCCGCGCACCCACGCCGTCGGCCGTCTTCACCTCGTTCTTGGCCGAGTTGATGTCGGCGTAGCCGTAGTTGTACTGACCCAGCTCGTCCTGCGAGTGGTGCTGCGCGCTACTAGCTACAGGCGCGGCATAGGCGGTGGCCACAGGCGCGGCATAGGTGGTGGCCAAACGCGTGGTGTAAGCGGCAGCGGCAGGCGCAGCGTAGGTGGCAGCCACAGGGGCGGCGTAAGCAGCAGCCACGGGGGCGGCGTACGTGGCAGCCACAGGGGCGGTGTAGGCAGCAGTCACGGGGGCGGCATAGGTAGCAGCCAGGGGAGCGACGCCGTACGAGCCGTATCTGGCGTAGGCGGGCGCCGCCGCAGTGAAGCCGTAGCTGAATCGAGCTCCGACGGCAGGTGCCACGTAGGAGGCACGCGCGGCCACGATCAGCGCACACACAATCTGAAACAGCAGCAGAGGCGGATATCGGCGAATCGGCACCAGCAAGCGCTTTCGCCCAAAGTAAATAGCGTGAACGAAGCAGTGTAGCTAGTGGGCACGTATACGAATATGTTTAAGAGGTAACGCAGTGACAATGTGCCTTGTGGATAAGGTACTTTTACACATTTGGTGCGGAGCGTCAGCTAGGTCTGAATGTTCTTAGAAGGGCTTTACCGTCCTCAAAAACTAGTTAGTGACTACAAAACTACAAAACCTAGTAACTAGTACACGGATTAATTTGAACCAATCATGTGTTATCAAATGATGTCGATTAGGCCAATGGCAGGTTTTGTAAGTTGCGTGGGTTTTAATTGCAGTACCACATCTCTGAACTGTCTAAGTCTTGTAAAGCTGCCTTGTGTAGAACCGCCTCACAGGTGCTGGCGTATCGTCGCCCGGCATGACGGCAGTGTGCGGTCTGATCGCTCCTACTCACCAGGGCCCGCATGATGTCTGACAGAGGAGGTCTTGCCGTGAGGAGTGGCTGCTGTCGGCGCCGGCGCCGTCTTTATAGTGCGGCCGGGGCCGGCCTCGCCCGTGTGTGGCCCTGGCTGACGCACGCAATACACGTGCTCTCATTACAAGGCAATGGCAATTTGCCATGCTAGTCTTTTGAACAAAATGGAGCGGACAAGAACATCATTCAGCTTGACCTGGTGTAAACGCGTGTCACATTACTTAACAGCAAGTAAAAGTGGATTTGAGTCATGATTATAAATGTCATGTGAACGTACCATAAGTGGTGGCGAAATCTACGCATATTGTGAACTGATTTTGACAAATCTTACGCTGTGATTCCCACTGTTGTGGCATAAATGGTTAAGTGGCTATCCATGAAACGTCTACCCGACGCGCGGTCTCACCTTAGTCATCGTTGACAAGCTGTATCAATTATTTAGACCCAATTAATTTTGACACCCACAGCAGACCCTGTCTGCTCTGACGTATAAACTGGAGCCCCCTGCGTCCTTGCCTCCCGAATTGCTTCGTGAATGTCTGAACGGATATTTATTGAAAGTCACATGCTTCCCTCACCATCCAGAATCTCCTGAAGTGCCCATGTACTCAGAACTGCCATATCACTAGAACCATACTTGACTTGTTCTACTGCAACTGGTAACACCAACACTGAATTTGATGGCACTTGCAGAGTAATACACTATTCAAAATTGTGTTAAGAAGAAACACATGCCTTTTTGAAAGCTGAAGGCTGGATTCCAGGATGTTATATGGTGATGACTGCATCTAAGATGTGGTGTCTGCATTCGTTGATTTCAAACCCTTCACGCGAGAGCATTTCTTACAGCACGCTACGTCATACAGAAACACATCATCAAAAAGATTGAGTGCAACGGCAAAAAACTTGCAAAAAAATTTGAGTGCAACGGCAAAAAATATTGCGTAGCCTTGACACCTTGAGACTGAATGCAAGTAGAATATACGCGTAGAGCATCGTGACTCAGGCTCTCTGCTGGTGAACCACAGCTCTATGCTGACGAACGTTGGAAACACGTTTGATTTTATCTTAATTGCCAGCGATTTTGTGTCATACTCATGTCATGTTTCATAGATAACTACCACAACATACTTTCTACTGTCAGGTGATTGTGACGACTGGCTTTTCTCTAGTGTTTTAGCTTGGCCATTGTATAGTTTTCCCTATTCGAGTGAGATCGCAACGTAAAAAGTCGTTAATTGCCAAAAGGACAGCTGCACAGCATGTATCGAAACGGAGCAACATATCGAAGAGCCGGTGTTGCAGAAGGTTCAGGCCAGCACATTTTGACATGCGATGATAACGCCAGCAAAGTTATTCAACACTACAGTTGTTCGTCCAAGAAGACAAACAATTACGTGGAGAAATGAACCCTCGCCCTGATTCACCATTTTGCATAACACGGACTCTTAGGGGGATAAGAGGTTTTGCGTCACCACCCTGGCGATTCCAAACTAATGAAAATATGTTTCATAAAAATGTCAGTGGATCTTTTTTAACGAGATCTCGCTCTTGTTACCAGTTCTTGTGTTGTTAAGTTAATGAATGATTCCAATATGGCAAATCAAAGGCCGAGTTTGGGGGAAAATCGCAATTTTTCAGCATTCACAACCTCAAACCTACGAAACTGTGCCTTTTGGCGACACGTAACTGATGCGGACATGTTCTGTGTTCGATTCTGAATGGAATTGATGCATATTTTTATGTCTTTACAGCATGCATCTATAATATATGGCTCTTTTGATGTCATAATGTTGGCGTGCTGCGTGCGCACCGTGTCATCGTCGGTTACCGCCCGCTGCCCGCGCCAGCCGTGGATCGCCGTGCAGTGCCCGTTAAAAACCACCGTTGCTCCGAAACAGAAAAGCTAGCAATACGTTTTTGGTCTCCGAACGCACGCAATGCAGGTCACATAGGCTTCTGAAAATGTAGGTCCTTTTGCTCAGCATGACTGAAAGATACCTCAATGAAGCGTTAAAAACGTCGGGAGAGTTTGCATTATCCCCCCCCCCCCCCTCTACCAGGGCGGGGGTTAAAGCGTGCTACCATTCATGCGGAGCAGAATGTGAACTGTTAGTCTTTGCTTTTGCTTTAGGAAGGATTGAAATCGAACGACAGCAAGTGGAGCGCAAATTAATACCCAGACTAATTGTACATTAAAGGCCCTGTAGGCGAGTTTAGCGCTGATAGGTGACCCATGAAAAGCACAGGCACTAACACTCACTCGCTAGGGCCTGTTCCCGGTTTTGAGGTGTCGTGGGTGGTCTTTGGTACTGCACTGCTTCCTGCACTTAAAACCGGCCTGACTGACGGAAGAAACTTAAAGTCAAGTAATAAAAAAACATCAACCGCTGGTAGAAAAACAACATGATACAGATGATACAGCAGAGTAAGCCCTCTCTCTTCAATGCAAGAATGGCGGCAGACACGTTTGATGGCAATAAAAACGTCGACAAAGATAGCCTTTCCCGGAGGAGTGTAGTTGTTTTTCCAAACGCATTTTATAGGCGTTTCGTGTGTGCATAACTTTAGTTGCAACGACCGTAATGCGATTATACCTAGAGTGCTTTAATTGCTGTGAGCTGATGTACATATGAAGTTATGAAATAGAAGTACGTCAGTTGTTAAGTGCATTCGCGAGGAACAATGCGCACGTAGATAAAGCAGTATCATCAACCCGGTTTCTGGAATAAAACCAGGGAAATAAAGATATAGATTCGCCGATATTTAAGCAACATGCTTTTATCAAAACGAGTAGGAGAAGTGAAGTGACTTCTGCAATTCGTGTCGATAAAGCCGTGTTGCCGAAATAGGAATGGATCTATATTCCCATTCTCCTGGTGTTTCTTTAAGGAATCAGGATATCACTAATGCCTTAACCCGAAATGTGATTAATAATGTCATTATCTGCAGATCAAAGCCTTTCGTCTTCATTCATATGTTACAAAAAGAACAAGATTCGTTTTCACCACAGCACAAATGTATTTTCGTTGAGGCACCAACAAAGCACGATGAGCCAGGGACACATCGATGGGGTCGATACTCATCACATATAGAACAATGACGCAGACAAATGACAACGAAGCACCGCCACGCCCATGAAACGCGACCGAAACTGACTCAACATCGAGTCCTATCGACTGGTGCAGTTCTCTTCACGGTGGGCGACCGTCTCTGCAGGCCCAGAAGGGTAACTTGGCTTTGGACATTTCAGTGGACGGCGGCGCGAGCCAGAGCCTCAGCGTGCGCGGCGAAGTGGGCCGACTTGGCGGCGGCCACCTCGGGCGTGTCGGCCACGTGACCCGGGCCGGCCGGGCCCACCGGCAGGTTGGTGCCCGCCACGCGGAAGCCCAGCGCGTCAGAGACGTAGTCGACCTTCTGCGGCAGGCCGTAGGCGTCCACGTAGCTGTAGGAGCCGCGCACCACGCCGTCGGCCGTCTTCACCTCGTTCTTGGCCGAGTTGATGTCGGCGTAGCCGTAGTTGTACTGACCCAGCTCGTCCTGCGAGTGGTGCTGCGCGCTGCTAGCCACAGGCGCGGCATAAGCCGTGGCTACAGGTGCCGCATAGGCGGTGGCCACAGGCACGGCGTAAGCGGCAGCGGCAGGCGCAGCGTAGGTAGCAGCCACAGGGGCGGCGTAGGTAGCAGCCACGGGGGCGGCGTAGGTAGCAGCCACAGGGGCGGCGTAGGCAGCAGCCACGGGGGCGGCGTAGCCAGCAGCCACGGGGGCGGCGTAGCCAGCAGCCAGGGGAGCGACACCGTACGAGCCGTATCTGGCGTAGGCGGGCGCCGCCGCAGTGAAGCCGTAGCTGAATCGAGCTCCGACGGCAGGTGCCACGTAGGAGGCACGCGCGGCCACGATCAGAGCACACACAATCTGAAACAGCAGCAGATACGAATATTGGCAAATTGGCATCAGAAAACGCCTTTACCAAAAAGCAAATGGCGGGAACTAAGCAGAGAAATCAGTAGACGCGTAAGTGAATGTATTCAAGAAGTAGCGTAGCGACAATGTCCCTTGTGGATAAGATGCTTCTGCACATTCAACGTGAAGAGTCAACAAGTTTGGATGTTCTTAAAAGAGCTTCATATGCGTCTGGAATTAGTTTACACGGATTGCTTTGAACCAATGATGTGCCATAAACTGATGCTGGATTAGGCAAATGAAAGGCTTTTCAGGTTTTGTGCATTGCACTAGGTCTTAATTGCGATGTCACAGATATGAACAGCTTACTTTTGCACGTTTGGCGCGGAGCGTCAACTAAGTTGGCATGTTCTTAAAAGAAGTTAACATGCATCTAGAATTAGTCTACACGGATTGCTTGAAGTCAACCATGCATTGTCAAATTATGCTGGATTAGGCAAATAAAAGGCTTTGAAAGTTTTGTAAATTGCACGAGTGCTAATTGCGATGCCACAAATATGAACAGCTTTAGCCTTCTAACGACGCCTTGCGTAGCACGGCCTAACAGTTGCTGGCGTATCGTCGCCCGTCCTGCCGGCGGTGTGCCGGTCTGTTCGCTCCCACTCACCAGGGCCTGCATGGTGTCTGACAGAGGATGTCTTGCCGTGAGGAGTGGCTGCTGTCGGCGCCGGCGCCGTCTTCATAGTGCGGCCAGGGCCGGCCCCGCCCGTGTGTGGCCCTGGCTGACGCACGCAATACACGTGCTCTCATTACAATGCTAAGGTCATTTGTAATGCAAGTTGTTTAAACAAACTGGAGCAAACAGGAGCATCATTCAGCTTGACATGATGTTTGTGCGCATCATATGGACCAACAACAAATCGAAGTGTTTTAACTCATTATTACGATGTCATGTGGCCATACCACTAAGTTGTGCGGAAAGTTATGTATCATGCGGCCAGGTTTGGAGAAATGCTAGGCTGTTATTCCCGTTGTTGTGGAATAAATCGTACAGTGGCTGGCTATGAAATAGCCACTAAGTGATCATCTATCAGACGCGCGGTCAAACCTTGGCCATCATTGACCAACTGTACTAACTCCTCAGTCTTAAGTAAATTGTGATGCCCACAGCAAACGCTGCTTGCTCTGATGTACTGACTTAGGCCTCCTGCGTCCCTGCCTCCTTAATTGTCTTATGGATGTCTTGACATATATTTATTGAACCTTGCAGTGCTTCACTTGCCATCCAACATATTTTGTACAGTACATGTGCTCAGAACTGCCCTATCAGCAGAACAATACGCCATGTACGCCATTATAGCTCATAACCCCAGCACGGAATCCGATGGTACTAGAAGAGTGATGCACTTTTGAAAGGCGTGTTGAGACAAATCGCATGCCTTTTTTCAGAACCGAACGCTGCGTTAGAGGATGTTATATTGTAATGAGTGCATTTAGGATTTCGTGCTCGCACTCTTTGATTTCATGTATGTTCACGCAGAAAAAATTTCGGAACGCTGCGCCATAAAAAAGCAAACGACAAATTAAGTCATTCAACGGCCCAGCTGTTTGCCTCAGAAGGCAAACAATTTAATGGAGAAAGTTATAGCAGGCTAAACGTCGAATTTTCAGGAAAATTGCCAAATTTAAAGCTTTACAACATCACATCTCCAAGATCATGCCTTCTGGCGACCCGAAACTTAAACAGGCGTGTTCCGTCTTCGATTCTGAATGGGATGCTTTTATTTAGGTCTTTTGAGCACACACTAATAATATATGGCTCTGTCAATGAAGCAATGTTGGCCTACCGCGCGCGTACCGCGGCATCATCGAGTGCCGCCCGCCGCGCGCACCAGCCGTAGATCGCCGTGCAGTGTTGCTACAGTAGACCGCCGCTGCACCGCAACTAAAAAAAAGAAACAGAAACACATTTTCGGTGTCAAAACCTACGCAGTGTATGTCCCATAGGCTACCAAAGATGTAGGTCATTTATTCAGCATGCCTGAAGGGCATCCTCAAAAAAACTTAATTTGGGGTTGTGTCACCCCCCTCCCCCTCATATCAGAGCGAGTGTTAAGGTGGGCCACCATTAATGCAGAGCCGAGTGTCAACTGTCCATCTTTGCTTCGAGACAGCAGATGGAGCCATCAGACTGACAGAAACTCAAAGTTAAGTTCAAAAGGCAAAAACAGCCGTTGGTAGAATGACAGCATAGCACGGATAAAACCGCCGGGCAACCTTCCTCTCTCCAATGCAATGATAGCGGCGGGCATGCCGGGTGACAACGCGAAACAATGCTGCCGAAATTGTTCTTTCCCCGATGAGTGTAGTTGTATTTCCAGAAGACGCTATGCAGGTGCTTTACGTGTACATAACTTTTGCTGGGATGAACACATTGCGGTTATACCTAACATACTTAAATTACTGTGGGCTACGGTTACTGTGAATTTTTAGCTAGAAATGTGGTTCATGGCCCACGTTATCCGCGGATCCAAGTGTTTCGGCTCCATTCAAAAGTCACACAGAGAAGGAGATTCGTTTTCACCACAGCACAAATGTATTTTCTTTGAGGCACCAACAAAGCACGATGAACCAGGGACATATGGATGGGATCGATACTCATCACATATAGAACAATGACGCAGACAAATGACAACGAAGCACCGCCACGCCGATGAAGCGCGGCCGAGACTGACTCGACATCGAGTCCTATCGGCTGGTGCAGTTCTCCTCACGGTGGGCGACCGTCTCTGCAGGCCCAGAACGGTAACTTGGCTTTGGACACTTTAGTGGACAGCGGCGCGAGCCAGAGCCTCGGCGTGCGCGGCGAAGTGGGCCGACTTGGCGGCGGCCACCTCGGGCGTGTCGGCCACGTGACCCGGGCCGGCCGGGCCCACCGGCAGGTTAGTGCCCGCCACGCGGAAGCCCAGCGCGTCCGAGACGTAGTCGACCTTCTGCGGCAGGCCGTAGGCGTCCACGTAGCTGTAGGAGCCGCGCACCACGCCGTCAGCCGTCTTCACCTCGTTCTTGGCCGAGTTGATGTCCGCATAGCCGTAGTTGTACTGACCCAGCTCGTCCTGCGAGTGGTGCTGCGCGCTGCTAGCCACAGGCGCGGCATAGGCGGTGGCGACAGGTGCCGCATAGGCGGTAGCCACAGGCGCGGCGTAAGCGGCAGCGGCAGGCGCAGCGTAGGTGGCAGCCACAGGGGCGGCGTAGGCAGCAGCCACAGGGGCGGCGTAGGCAGCAGCCACGGGGGCGGCGTAGCCAGCAGCCAGGGGAGCGACGCCGTACGAGCCGTATCTGGCGTAGGCGGGCGCGGCCGCAGTGAAGCCGTAGCTGAATCGAGCTCCGACGGCAGGTGCCACGTAGGAGGCACGCGCGGCCACGATCAGCGCACACACAATCTGAAACAGCAGCAGAGGCGCAGCGATTAACTGTTAATATTTTAACGGTGGTCTGGATGGGCTCCTTTGAGCTGATGAAATATGCTTAAAGAAATAATGTACTCATTACTTGTTTTTGAGCTACGGCTAGCACTGATTTTCTTGTAATGGTGTATCCCACATGTAGCTGTTGATTCCGATCTCATATCATGTATCACTTTGAATTCTGCATTATGGAGTTGCGTCGTGCCACCTCGCGATTGCTTGAATGCCGTCACCCGCCCTTTCCTCGACTTGCCGTCTGCTCCTACTCACCAGGGCCTGCATGATGTCTGGCAGAGGTCTCGCCGTGAGGAGTGGCTGCTGTCGGCGCCGGCGCCGCCTTTATAGTGCGGCCGGGCCGGCCTCGCCCGGGTCTGGCCCTGGCTGCCGCAGCGGGCGGGGTGGCCAGCAGCAGCGGCGGGGGTCAGGCCCGGACCGTCAACAGTGACGCAGCAGCGGCGCCGGTGCGCTCACGCCCAGAGCGCTCCCGGCCTTCAGGCCCTAATGGCGCTGGGATAATGCTGGGATTGCTTGACAAGGCCCATTGGGCGCGAGCAGGATGTGAAGGAACACGCTTTCCGCCTCGCTGCTCGCGACAGATACTGAATGTGAACACTGGGTGGTAATACGCGGTTATGTTATTGGGCAGTATAACCCAGTGCGCTCGAATGCTCTAGTGCACTAGCCAAGTGTGTACGCTGGGCCCGTTGAGCACTGTGCCGCGGAGAATTGCTCAGGAATGGCCCTTTACGGACTGCTAATGTCTGCTTGGCTCTCTGAAGAACCTTATTGATGCATGTCTTGTTCTTTTCAGTTCTATTAGTCTATCTATTTATCTATCTGTCTATCACGCTGCTCTACTCGAAACTATATCGCAAGATGTCTTACACCGTAGCAATATCTTCTAAGCATTTTTTCACATGACAAAGGCGTGTTTTAACATGAGCTTGGATTTCGGGATAAATTGGAGTGTCGAAGGATTTTCAAAAGTGACTTCCAAACATTGTGCTGCTGTAAAGACTCGAACAACCGACATTTTGGTGCAAAAACATATCTTTCTTAAGGTCGCTGACTTATGGCAAGTGAAAGTCTGACATTGCCTTCAGCAAAGGCATTTCCGAGGATATCGCTCAATACTTTGTGGCAGCGAATTGTTTAGCGAACTCCTACAAACCTTAGGTGGGTTCTTAAACGATTACTTAATTGACATTTGGCTCACGACTTATCCCATTTGCCTTGGATCAGGTGGGAACGCCGGATCAAGCGTGAGACCAAGCCGTGTTTTACTGTAAAGCTTACATTATGGCAAAATTTTCCGATGATGATGACGTCAATAAATTCCGTGTGATTGCTTAATAAGGATGACCTCGATGATTCTTTTACTCTGATGAGGATGTCACCTTAGGCAGCGCTTGGTGCAGATTTTAATTCAAATGTGCAAATATTCTCGAGGGTTAATACTCAGGTAAAATCAGGTAAAATAATCAGGTAGAATCAGGTAAAATAATCGGGTAAAATCAGGTAAAATAATCAGGTAAAATCAGGTAAAATAATCTGGTGAAATCAGGGTTTATCTTTACAAGATGAATATGCTCAGTAAGTTGCTATGAACAACAGGAACATGTTGCTAATAAGAAATATGCAAAAGAGGTATGTAGGTTAAAGATGGTTGTGTGAGGAAGTCTGAAGGTACCTCGGACACTTAACTTGAGCTTGACCTTGTCTGATCTTACGTGACCTCAAGGTCACAACCTAGGTACTATGCTCAGATTGTGACCTGAACGTCTAAGTTGTGACCTTCAGGTCACAACCTAGGTCTTGTTCAGTTTTTTTCAGCAAGCATTCAGCTTCAACAAGTCGCCAAGACGCCAGCAAGCATTCATGGCGTCAGGATCAAAGAAGGTGAATTTATGGAGCTTTCCGCGGTCACCATACACCCAATAACATCAGCTTTTTGCATGCGGTAACGACCGGAGAGGCGTGGGGCGACATGGACTCGCGACTCACTAGAGAGCATGTGTTCTTGAATGCTTCGCAGAGCTTGTAGAGCATGTAGTTTTAATTGGGCTGGCCTCGCTGGTACGTGGTTAATGGAATGACAGATAACTGCTGTTGTTTTTTGGCGCTCTTATGTGAACGCTTCCGAACGCTTTGACTCGCGACCCCAGCCGCCGTTGCTGGGCAACGACGAGCCAACCGACATTTAGAACACTTC